TTACCCAGGACACCAATCTGACTATGGATGTGGAAAAAAACAAACTCCAAATAAGTTCGTTTATACTGAGTATGTTCTGTCCCTGAAGGAAAGCTAGAGTTGAATGTCTATGAGGTTGCTTGTGAATATATTAATGTGCCCTCTTTAGATTTGAGTACGTGAAAACTGTCCCTCGGATATAGGAACACAGGTCACTTAAAAGGAGTCAGTTTCCAGAAACTTATCTATATTGTGTACTTCTCCCTAAAACTGATCGATCTGTGAATACTCTTGTGATCAAAGCTTCAAGCTATTTACCCTTTTTTACTTCTGTTTGATAGTTGCCTTATGGCATTTTTTTAAAAAAGCTTAACTCTCACTCATAACCTTTTCAATATTGCACAGGCCATAAAACTAGGGGTGGAGGGGGCAGATGAAAAGTCCATTATAAATATTGGTTTTAGGGGAGCCTTTTTAATGAGGGGGCAGTGCAGTTTTTCAATATTATTTTAAGGCAAAGAGAAGAAAATAAAAGTTGAGGCCCATTGCTATAAGTTAGTTTTGAGTTTTTTAAACCAATTTGCAGTTCATTTGTATAACTAGTTTCATCATTAATTTTTAACCAGTATCATTTCCAAACACAGTCTTTCTCTTATAACCTCCCAGAGTGGTGCATATTTAATTCTGTATTTGAAAGTACTTGATCTGAACATCCACGTGAAACAGCGTTGCACTTGGAAAAGATAGCCATAGCCCGGTGTTGTTGGTGTCAGAATGCTGGTGGGGTAAACTCTCCCTGGGGGCACTGGCAGTCTCGCTGAGAACTGGAAGCTACGTTATGCTCTGTATTTTGATGATAATTCAGGGAGCAAGGATGGGGGGGAAATCATTAGAGTTTAGGATGATTGAACTAAAATACATGAATTTCATTGACTGCAAAATTTGTGTGTGTGTGTGTGTATGTCTGTGTGTGTGTGTGTGTGTATGTGTGTGTGTGGAGAGAGAGAGAGAGAGAGAGAGAGAGAGAGAGAGAGAGAGAGAGAGAGAGAGAGAGGCAGAGAGGCAGAGAACTGACTGACTTGCGGTTATACAATGCAGGTAATGGGAAAACTTCAGAGAACCAGGCGTGGGCTGTCAATGACAATGCTAAGCCTTGAACAAAATTGCATTTTACCTTCTTGAGGAGCAATCAAAAGTGAAGAACAAAGACTGAAAAGTAAATTTAGACCAAGATGCCTTGATCTCTGTAATTTAAGCCATTTACTTTGCTTTCTCCTTTGATTTGAAGACTCATTGTGTCCTGTTGAGTCTCGGTGGAGGCACTTGATTGTTGTCTAGCTCCTGGTTGAGTGGCAGGAACTTCAGTTAGAGAAAAAGTTGGCAAGCGTGTAAAGCAGGGACTTTTAACCAAGGTTTGTATCAGAGTCTCATGTAGGTGTTTGGAAATATTGGTGTATAGGTTCCTCATCTGGTTCTTCAGATTATATATTTAGAAAATAACATATAGCCCTAGCTGGGCGTTGATGGTGTCAGAATTCTTGCTGGGTAAAGTCTCACTGTGGGCACTCGGTATCACTGAGGGGAACTGGAATCTGATAAAATACTACAGTTTATTCAAGCTTAGCACTGTCATTGACAGCCCACACCTGGTCTCTAAAGTTTTCACCATTATGCATTGTGTAACCACAAATCTCAGTCAGACCCTCCTTCCCTCCCTCCCTCCCTCCCTCCCTCCCCTGATGATTCGGTAGATCCAGGATAGAGCTCACTAATCAGTTTTAAAACTTTGTTGGCTGATTCTGGTGCGTACCTGCAGACCTTTAGTTGAGATCATTATAGTAAAAGACTATGTTTTACCTGTGGGTATGATCATTCCTCATTCAGACATCTGTCTTCCATTTATGCCCAGGTGTATTCTTTCCTAGGGCTGCTGTAATAAAATTACCACAAACTTAGTGTCTTAAAACAACAGAAATTTATTTATAATTTCGGAGGCCAGGCATGTGAAATCAAGGTATTTAGGAGAGAATCTATTCCCTGCCTGTTCCAGCTCCTGGTGGTTGCCGGCACACCTTGGCTTGTGTCTAATCTCTAATTTTTCACATTGCCTTCTCTCCATCATAAATCTCCCTCTGCCACCTTCTTATATAGACACACTTTAGCCCAAACACTCTTCCCGTCTCAAGGTCATTAACTTCATCAGGGTTCCATCCACATATCAGTAATAGGTAAGGTCAGGGGGCAAAACCACATGGCCAGCCATACACTAGGGGAGAAAAGGTCACTCTGGGGGCAAGATCCTTGTTTTCTCAGTTTTGTCCATTGTTAGGCACCAGGGCTTTCCTTGCTGGTGACCTTTCAAACCTGGCCCATCGTCCTTGCTCTGCTCAGGCCTCTCTACCTGCCTACCATATGAGGACTCTGACGAGTTTTTTATATTACTATAAACATGAACTACCTTGTGCTCTATATGCCATGTCTCTGTACTGAAACAACTACATATTTTATACCACTACAGTTTGCTGAGATTGAGAGTACACTTTCTCGATTAGGACTTCATGCCCTAGTTCCTCTTTATTGAGTTTGTGACACGTTGGAAACACCCAAGTGCAGCAGACGTGTGGATCTGAACTTCACAAGGGTTCACATGGGCTGCAGATAACTGATAAGTTCACTCACACTTTAAGAGATAAGATGAGGGAGACCGAAATAATGACTCGGATTATCCAAGGAGAGAGGAGGACATTCAGGAGACTCTTATGTGTCACAGGAAATAAGGAAGACAATATTTGAGAGTATTCAGTGCTGCTGAAAGGTGAAGGGATACAGAAACATTAAATGTGGCCTTGAATTGGGCATTGAAGGAAGCTGATGAGTCTATTGTGACCAGTTTTAATAGAGCAACAGGGATGAAAACTAGATTGCCTAAATTGAAGAGAATAAGTAGAAATAAGAGTTGCAAGAACATCTCTCAGAAATTTGGCTTACAAAGAGAGGCTGAGGAACAAAGGTGATGACTGAATTGCAGAAGTGGGGTTGGAAGAGATGCGCCTGTCTGAAGCCTGTTAGGAAGGAGCCAGTAAAAGAGATGTTACTGCAGAAAGAGAAGATAGCAGAACCAGCGAGGGCTTAGCCTTGCAGTGATGCGACACTCCTTCCCTTACCATCAGAAAGAAGGAAAGGAGATGCCAGTGCAGATGCATTTTAGGGAAGGTGACAAAAAGTTCAAGGAGGCTCATGAATGAAGGCTCTGCTGATGTTTGAGATGATGCCTCTCCCATAGCTGTAATTGGTGCTGTTATTTAATTTTCCCTGTTAGTGCTGGATTAGTCACATATAAATAGAGAAGACTGTGTGGTTCAGGAGGGTTACACTCTTTGTTGGGTTAATTTGCATACTCACTCCTGATTGTCTGGTGGGCATTGCATAGATACAGTCAATTAGCATGTTACTCTTTTATTAAGTAGATTTTTTTTCTTTACTCTGGGTAGTATTGAGTATGAAAGTTGATAAAGAACCTTTAATGTTCTCTCTTTTCAATTGTAGTTTCTCAGTCCATTGTTTCTTGTGGGTTCAAAATGGCTCATATAAGTAATAGAATCCATTAAAGGCATTTATGCAGTGAGAGTCTCTTGGGTCTTAAGATAGACATCTACTCTCCAGTTATCCAAGGGCAGCCTCATGGACATTAGCTATGTCATAGGTGGTTGCATTTTTTTTTTCTTCAGGAAATCTGAGTTTTTCCAAAAGAATGTCCAATTTACTGCATGGGCTTTGTGCCTTGATTAACCCCTTATTCTAATTTGGTATTTTATCATTTTCGTACCTGAGGATACGTTTAACCATGTCCTGATAATGATGAAATGCATCCTGATTTTTAGTAGCTCTCATAATTATTCAGTAGTTAAATTAACTATTGTAGCCACACTGAAGAATTCCCAGAGTCTGCCAAGAGACTGGCTAAGGATACATGTTTTGGATATTCAATAATATAAAGTCTGTAACCTAACTGACCTGAAGTCTGAGCTGAACTTGGAAGAGTTTTGAATGAAAAGAGGATTCACTATTGGTGTGCAGTCTTCTGTTAACACACATGCAGACTGTCCCTCCCTTGGACAAGACAGAGTGAAAGGCAGCAATAAGAATATGAGGCGTTTCTCCCCCTGCTCTGCTACCTGAGAAACTGTCTGAACCTCTCACTTCCTCTTTTGAAAGATGAGGGTTGAATGGCACTGATCTCCCCTTTTTTCCATCTCAAAGTAAATGAAGTCTTTGCTGCATCTAATAGGTCCAAGTACTTCTTTGAAGAAAAATGTTCCAACTTCATTCCTATGTTGTTATGCACCCGAGTTATCCTTTTCTTAAAATTAAGAGAATCCAGAGGAGGAGTGGCCTTTCCTTGGATCCTTGTCATAGTGGGACAGCTTGATTCCAAGGAGCGTAGATGTGATGCCAGAGCTAAAGGCCTAGGGAGGCAGGCTGTGCTGCCTTTGTCATTGTTACCCAGCCTCTAAAGCGGCCGTCTGCCTCCCCATCCACCAGCTCACACACACCAGCATCACACTACTGGGAAGCGGAATCACCGAGTTAGGCAAATAGCAGCTGCTTCAGTCACTGGTGTAGATGGTTGTTATAACTGGCTCTCGTCCCCCTCCCATGTATTAAATTGTTGTGGAAATAGTTATATTTATTTCATCAGTGAAAAAGGTATGAGTAGTCCAATATCTAAACTAGTGAAACTACAAGACCATAAGAAAAAATTTAATCATATCCTCTTTTAAATAGGATATAAATGTATAATGTTTAACTGTGGGAAAATGCAGTTCCGTGGCGTGTGTTTCTGTTTCACAAAATGCCGCTTACCCTGCGCATTCCTCATCTCCGCACAGGACAGCCCGCCATGGGGATTGGGAACTGCTGGCCAAATCCCTCAAGCGTTTTAGGGCTTTTGTCATGTGTCTGAACTCAAAATATGGAATAGAATGAAAAGAAAAACCCCATCTTGTTTTCTGTCTTTACAGGCTCTCTACAACTCCATCAAGAATGAGAAGCTTGAATGGGCGGTGTAAGTATCCTGGCTGTCAGCCTTTTAGTAAATGAACTGCTTGCTCTTTCCTTATTATCTTCCTTTATGCCTTAGAGGGATCCTAGAGAAGGATTAAATATGCAGGCACAGTTCTCATTTTACACTAGTGTCTTGCTCACTTTGTTTAAAACCTTAAGTATCCCGCATCTTTTTCTTAGTACCCAGCATGCTTCTATTCTAAAAGACACTAGCATTCTAAAAGAAAATCTGATAAAAGTATGTACATTCCAAAGTCCAGTACAAATGATTTTGGCATTTACTTTAATTCTCTCTGTCCTATCATCATATATCAAGGCTTTCCACTCCTATTTCCTGTAATATTGGTTATACCAGGATACTGATAGATAAGTTTGATCGATGATAGATTAAAATAAGCTTAAAAAAATGTTTAACTGTAGAACTTCCAGAAGCTTATACAATGACATATATATATATTGTGGATCTCCAAGAGAGAAATACAATTTGAAATGTTTCCTGACATCCTTTGGGAGATACTGTTCTGGATTAATTACACCTCTGTGTAGACAAACAGTACCACTTTTGTTAAATTTTCATTGATCAGTGCAGCAGTCACCGATTTTTTTATTGTTGACAATGTTACAGACATCTCCCATTTCCACCCCCTTTCCTGGAAATGGTTAAGAATTTAATCTTTACAAAATTATTGAAGTCTCTTTACTAAATTTTTAGTGAAGTTGTCAAGAAGTTAGGTCAAATACATTTTTAATTAGAACTATGTGAGAATTTTGTTTTTTATTTTCACTCATATTGAGCATGAACAAATATTTTTCTATCATGCAATCTAACATAGCAATCTGCAATGAACTTGTTTACAGAATCATAATGTGGGGGGTAATTCTTATTCGTTCATATGCACATTGGGGGAAAGTAGCTTAGCAACTGGCTGCCTCTCCCATGTAATATGCTAGAAAGAATGGAAAATATCAATCCCCCTTGAATTGTTTCCATTAATTGTAAGGTCATATGGTACTGTTTGAATTGTGGATTCAAAGTATAAGTTGAGACTCTAGTATATGTGATGGCTTATATGTTTGTATGTGTATGTAGATATCATGAGCTTCACTTAAAGCAATGTATCATTTTAGGGAAAACTTAGTAAGATTAATAAGAGTTCATGGTCTGAGATCCAGAGAGATCTCTCTTTAATAAAGTGGGTTTCCTATAAAAATTTCATAAATGATGTATATAAAATTCAGCTGGAATAGTAAAGGCATATCCTGACCTATGCAGAATATCTACTGAAGAAAATTAATAAAAATGAAATAGTTATAAGCAAATTCACACTAGGGGAGAGAATAGTTTAAGGATTTTTTTTATAAAGTTTTTTTTTTAAAAACAAACATATACTGTTGAGAATCTGTATTGTAAAGCTATATTTTTGCCATATTGAATTTGTTACAATAGGCCTTATTTACATTTATGTGTTGTGGCAATTTGGTACAAGAAGGCTTGATCCATGTGTGGGAAGTAGAAATGGATATTTCTATCACCTTCTTGCAAAGTCAACAGAGCATCTGTTCAGGAGTCCAGACCCCAGAACCAGATAGATTTGGGTTTGAATTCCAGCTCAGCTACAAAGATCCTGCTACAAAATTTATAGATTAATAGATACTTGCATGGGAGGTATCTTAATGTTGATTTTAGAACCTTAGAATAAATTGAATTATAAAATCATGGAATGTTATAACTGGTGGGACCTCGGAATTTTTAATTCACTGGTTCTCTAACTGGGTTCCACGGAGTCCTAGGAGATAGATGGCCAGGTGGCTCCATAAGTGATGTGTGAGGAGGAAGGGGAAAGAGAACAGGGACTCAGTTCTATCTCCCACAAGCATCATGCCTCTTTCAACAGACCAAAACAGCTCCACTGTTATCTTGTTAAAATATGTATTTGGAGTTCTACTTACTGTTTCTCCTCTTACCCGACTGGGATGGCTCAGCAGTTGAGCATCTACCTATGAACCAGGAGGTCAGGGTTCGATTCCTGGTCAAGGCATATGCCCGGTTACAGGCTGCCCTGGTTATAGGCTCAATCCCCAGTGGAAGCTTGCAGGAGGAAGCTGATCATTGATTCTCTCTCATCATTGATGTTTCTATCTCTCTCCCTCTCCCTTTCTCTCTGAAAACAATAATAATAATTAGATATCTGTACTTAAATTTTGTTTTGAAAAGTACTACTTCAGTCCAGTGTTCTCATTTCATGTATGAAGGAAATGAAGTAAAGCATTCCTGAACATTCAGAACATAGTGTCGTGGCAGAGTCAGGATTTGTTCTGCAGGTGCCCAGGGTCCCGTGGAAGCACCACGTTGCCTTGCTTCTCTGTGACCACATACTCGGAATGTCTTGACTAAGCAGTGTTCATGTCTGAATGTCTCTATGCCAGCTTCTGATACAAGGTGAATTAAGAGAATTTTACACTGAGTGGTCAGATTGTTATGATTTCTGAACACATAATAATTTGGCCACTCAATGTGTGTGTGTGTGTGTGTGTGTGTGTGTGTGTGTGTGTGTGTGTATGTATATATTGTGTGTGTGTGTGCATGGATTCATGCATGGATGGGGTCCGGCCAGCCATGGGGACATGGGCGGTTGGCCGGCCTGCCTGCTGGTCGAACTCCTGGTTGAGGGGGCAATTTGCATATTAGCCTCTTATTATATATTTATATATTCAGAGATCATAATAATCTGTCCACTCAGTGTATATTAAATTTCTGATCTCATTAAATGTTCTTAGAATTTCTAGTATTCTTCTCCCAGGCAGGTTAGTTCATTCATTCGTTCATTTCTGCGCCGGGACCGTGCTGTGCTCTAGATACAAATATGAAAAGACAGCTTCTCTGCCTAATGAGAACATGGTGTGAGAGTGGGTGGGAGGGGGTGGACTGTACAAAGAGGAAAACTTAAGAACCATAGTGAAGGGCGCAATGAGCTAAACCACCTTGCGGAAGGTCTCAGCTCTCTCATTTCTTCCCCAGACCCTTTGCTCAGTCATTCATTATTCAGAAAGCATCTATTTGTTGAACTACTCTGTACTAGTCAGTATGCTGGAAATACAGAGAGAACAAAAGTATGTAAGGCATTAAGGCATTTTCCCTGGCCTTAAAAATGTTATATAGTTTAATGCAAATGATAGGAGAGGAGGTAAGCAGTAGTTTCTCTCTGATTAGGATGGAATGGGGTGAAGTGAGTGGCAGTGACTATAAGAGCTTGCATTGTTAGAATTGTTAGCTATATGAGGATCTTCAGGGAATATGACAATTAACAGGAAAGGGAAATAAGTGCAGTATTATTCACTAGGAAAATTAGCAGTCTTCTCTTATTTATTGCTGTTATTCTACATTAGTATTTAGGAATTGCAAGAAATTTTTCTCCCCGTGATTTTTTTTTAAATATTAAAAATTTATGTATCCAGCCTCATTTAATTAAGACACAATAGCACTAGTTTTAAATAATGTACTTCTGGGCTCCCCATTCTCGCCCGCTTCCCTCAACTTCTGGGTCACTAAGGCATTTGCTTTGCTTATATTATGCACAGTTATTCTCTTTATCTCTGAATAAGCATTTTTATAACCTTGCATCATGGAATAATCTTTGCTATTTTATATTACCCTTTAACTCATTTTACAAGAGCAGTTTATAATCTTTATCACCTTTGCTTCTAAATTAAATTGTTTTCTGTCTGCCCTCACATATCAAACTGTCCTGGCTAATTAGGTGAGATGGTGTCACTTTGGGATCTTTCTGTGTTTCAGATCACGTGCTCTGAAAGCCCAGAGCTTTAAAAAATGTGGTTTTTGGTTTTAAATGCCAACAGTTCATTGTTTGATTTTTTTATCCTTTTGTTTAGGAAATTTTGTTATGGCTGGTTTTTTTCAGGAGACCAGTGCTGCCATTTATTGGCTGACTGTAGGAAGCAGGGAGAGCTCTCCACGTATGTCCTCCCTCTTCACCATTATTGTGTGTAATGCTGCCTCGGAGTGTACCTGTGTGTGCATCTCTGTATATTGTTGGAGAATGACACATAAAAGCAATGGAGTGACTAGTACTTGTTATTTCACTTGGCAGTTTAATTTTTTATACATTCAAGGGGCCTGAATCTGAAATTGACAACTACTTCCAGAGTCTCTTTGTTATGGATCTTTTTCCAATGAAAGAACCCTTTAAAACTTTTACTTCCATTACTTAGTCCCTTTTCATATTTTATATCACTCATTGTTGACTCTAATTTTATTTTAAGTGAAAAAATATATATCAATTAAAATGTAGTCTCAAGTGTTGCTCTACAGAGAATGGCCATCTCAAAAGTCCTAGTTTAAAAAAAAAAAAAAAGTCCTAGTTTAAAAAAAAACAACAAAAAACAACAACTCAGTCCTAGTTAAAAGAAAAACAAGCAAGAGTTTTTCTTTTAACTAGGATTGAGTCATATGAGCCAACTTTAGCTAATGAGTGTAATGTTATGCTTTACATTTAAGATTTCTTTACCATTTCCTCTTTGTTTTAATTCTCCCTGATTTTTTCTTTATCAACATCAGGGCCCTCCAGAAAGAAAAATTAAAATTCCCTATCTATACCTTTTATATTTGACCTTGTATCCTAAAGAAAAGGTTGCTTTTTTTGTCTTATTTTTAAAATATTTTTATTTCCATAGAAAAAGATAAATCATGGTAATTTTCAGTGATTAATTCTGTTAATTTGCTTTATTATCCTAATGCCCTAGTGAATTTAGATATATTAAATTGTTATTCAGGATAGTGTTTCTTAATAGCAGATTTAGATCAAAACTTTCTTAAGTCATTTTGGGTTAAGACATTTTTGTGGCATTTTGATTCAAGAAGTCCGAAAGTAATTCTCATTTTAAACTTCCAAATAGCCACTTGTAGGTTGATAATTACTACTGAGACAATGAGAAATTGCTAAAAGTTGGGCGGTGGTTGCAGATACAATGGATATAGTAAAT